GTCTCAAACCCATGGACTCAGGCAATCCACTCACCTCAGCCTCCCAAAGGCGCGGGATTATAGGCTGAGCCACTGAGCCCGGCTTAACTTTTTGTAAAGCAAGTAGGCATTAACACAGTAGATCAATTAGGAAACACATGGCGGGAAGTGTATACACTGCTAATAACCCAAGCACCAGCAAGAATGAGTGCTAGGGCTCCAGGAAATACACTTTTATGCACCAGGAGTAGCTGGCTGCTTCCTGGTTCTGCGTTCTCTTGTACACCATTGCCAGGCTGCATGTTATTTTGACTGTCATCATCTTATTTCATTGTTGTGCTTTTAAAATCCCAACTTAGAAAATCACTGACTTAGGTCTTAGATGACATTCAGAGCCTAACTTGGTAATTGTCATTTATTCAGTTCAACCAGTTTATTCTTTAAAGCTTTCAATGGCATGCTCACAAAGTTACAAAAGCCTCTGTTAATGGAATTTTTTCCAAGATAAGTAACTTGTCACTGAGCACCTAAATTCTGCTTTTTATTTCCCCAGTGAAACTATTTGTTTAGAACTCAGTTTTTGAAAGCCTAAGTTTTTTTTTTAACAAAACATATAGCAGAAGATTGGACTGTGATTTTAAATTTATTTTGGGAAGAAAGTACATCACAGAGGGAATTACCCAGGCCCTGGAATAAATTCTTGGCTTTGCCACTTGCTAGCTATGGGCCTTGGTACAAATCTCAGCTCCTTTATCTGCAAAGTGGGAATACTGATATTTACCTCTCTGAGTCGTGAGGGGATGGAATAATGAGTAAAAAAGCACCAAGCTCATAGCAGTGCTCAGCGAATGTGGTTCTCCTTTTATTATGAGAATTGGGATACTCTCTTATTCACTTCTGCATTCAGTGCCTTTCGTATAGAAAACAATTGATGAGGGTTAAATACATGAAAACCTTAAATAAGCATCTTTAGGGCTGGGCACAGTGGCTCATGCCTGTAATCCCAGCACTTTGTGAGGCCGAGGTAAGAGGATTGCCTGAGCCCAGGGGTTCGAGACCAGCCTGGGCAATACAGCGAGACCTCATCTCTACAATAAATCAAAAAATGAGCTGGGCATGGTGGTTTGCACCTGTAGTTCCAGCTACTTAGAAGACTGAGGTGAAGGGATTGCCTGAGTTCATCAGGTTGAGGCTGCAGTAAGTAAGCTGTGATGGTGCCACTGCACTCCAGCCTGGGTGACAGAGTGAGACTCTGATTCAAAAATAAAATAAAATTAAATTAAAATATTTTAAATAGCATTTTTATAAATAAAATCACATTTGAACTATGCACACTCTTTCAAGGCCCTCATCTGTAGTGGATTTTCTTTTCATTCATTCAGCAAATATTTACTACATACCTACTATGTGGCAGGCACTGAGCTAGGCATAATGGGTACAACAATGAGCAAAGGGGTTACAATCCTTGCCTTCATGGAGCTTTTCCATCTGGGAGGACAGTAACATTCCCACGGCTTCCCAGTGTTTCATGAGGTTTTGCAATGATGTCACTTAGACATAGGTGAAAGGTCAGCATTGAACCAGTATCCACAACATGTGTAACTATGTCAGTGGGAAAGAACACAGGTGATCTGGGCTACTTAACTCCAGAAGAACAGCCTGCGAATGTAAAAACATGGGCTGTGACCTGCCAGTGTAGGATATCAACTTACAAAGCCTAACTTAAGGCACTCATTGATTTGATTTCCCTTGATATCCCCTGGATTGTTTGTTTGTTTGTTTGTTTTTTAGTCAGAGTCTCACTCTGTTGCCCAGGCTGAAGTGCAATCACCACAGCCTCAACTTGCTGGGTGCAGGCGATCCTTCTGCCTCAACCTTCCAAGTAGCTGAAACTACAGACATGTGCCACCATGCCTAGCTTATTGATTGATTGATTGATTGATGGAAGAAATGAGGTCTCGCCGTGTTGCCTGGGTTGGTCTCCCACCCCTGGGCTCAGGCAATCCTCTTGTCTCCGTCTCCTAAGTGCTGGGGTTACAGGCATGAACCACCATGCCCGGCTCCCCTGGGTTTTTGAAGAGAGTTAAAAGATTCTCCCTTTTCTCTCCTTCACAAGATGGTCCTGCCTTTGGCCAAAATGGACAAGTCAATCCATGATTATCTGTGAGGATCAGCAGGGCTTTTGCCAGATGCTGCAAACAAGATCGTAATCATTAAGAACTGCCTTTAAAAATCAAGACCTAACATTTTAAATTCTCTTTGCTTTCTTCTGTAGCAATGTGTGTATGGGGTGCAGGGAAGGGTGGACAGTGGGAAAGGTGGAACTGCTTTCAGTCTGAAAAGATGATGAGGGGGCAGGGATGCCTGACAAGGAGTTCAAAATCTTCTGTCCCTCTCTACACCCTTGAATCGGCAAAACCCCCCTAAATTCCTCTCTGGTTTCTTCTCCTTCCTTACCAGTAGGATACAAGTCACCCTAAAGACTCCTTGCAACTTCCTTATAATTTTCTCAAATATGGACTCAGGTGAGGGATTCCTGCTGTGCAGTGTCTTCATGAGTTATGTTTTTACAAGTGGTAGCCAGGACTTTGGATTTGTGCTCTCACACTCATGTATCAACCCCTGTAGACTGAAGCCAGGTCTCATGAACTCAATCCAACCAAAACCACCTACTAGATGCTTTGGCCCTGCTCTGGTAGTTCATTTTTCCTCATCAGATCGTGGTCATGGGGCATTGGATTAGAGCTAAAAGGAAACTTAAGGGATTTGGTTTAAATCCTCTTATTTTACAGAGGGGTAAACAGAGGCCCAGAGAATGCCGATGACTTTTCAAAGTTCACACAGCTAGTTAGTGGGTAGACTCATACTGAAACCCAAGACCCTAACTCTGAGGCCAGGTCTCTTTTGGCTCACCGACCGGATATTCTTATGCGAGAATGATGTAGAGTAGTAGTGTAGATGATGTGTAGTTGAGTCTTGTTTTTTAATCCACTCTAGCAAATCTATCTTTTAATTAGTATATTTAGACCATTAACTTTTTTTTTTTAAATCGGGGTCTCTGTTGCCCAGACTGGAGTGCAGTGGCCTACTCACAGCCACCTCAGCCTCGACCTGTTGGGTTCAGGCTATCCTTCTGTCTCAGCCTTCCAAGTAGGTGGGACTACAGGTGTGTGTCATCATGCCCAGCTAATTTTTTGATTTATTGTAGAGAAAAGGTCTCACCAAGTTGCCCAGACTGGTCTCAAACCACTGGACTCAGGCAATCCTTTCTCCTCTGTTTCCCAAAGTGCTGGGATTATAGGTATGAACCACTGCACCCGGCCAAGACCATTCACATTTAAAATGAGTTGAATATAGTTGAATTAATATCTTCCATGTTCTGT